GAAATGTGTGTTTTCCCCATGGTCAATATGGAACCCAGTCAATGGCAGATTACTGAGGCAGTGCATGTAAATGACAACCAAAGCATGGATAAACATCTGTAACCTCATTCACCTTCTTTCTCCCCCGTCCTCATTTTCAGGGGGTAGTAAAGACTTTCTCCTTGACCAAATTTGTTTAAGTTGTCTGATCTCTTTTCTTCACTAGGTCACAACCTTCACACCTACTCTGGGGTCTTCTGCAGTCGAATCTTGCAAAGTCTGCTCAGAAGGAATCCCTAACCTTGGTTTCTAATAAAGTTATTCACCCTTTGCCTTTGATATACAAGTCTTTGGCCTGCTTTTAGCCTAAGCTTGCTAGGTCAGATCAGTTTAGTGTGAGTGATATATCTTAGTAACTCCTCACTCTGCTCTGTGGCTATTTACCCTTCTTGTCAGGAGTTGAGCCTGAGCATTATGTTGTGATGATTTTAAATAAAGTTTTCTCTATTAGTTAAACAATTATGAGATCCTGTTTTCTTTAACAGCAGGTACCTATAAAGGTCTTGGGACCTTCAAGTACAGAGCTAATCACAATACTACAAAGAAAACACAGTTTGCTTCCCCAGTGTGACATAAAGGCTCCAAATATATAGATTCAAAATTGCTCAAAAGCACTAAACCAATAAAGCTATGGCCAAAACAACAAAAACAGAAACAAAGTTAACAAAATTCACTACTGTCTTTGGTTTTGTGGCATCAACCTGCACACTAGCTACTCAAGAGGCTGAGATTAGGATGACCAGTTGAGACCTTCCATTTTATGGAAGGAAGAAGCTGGGTGTGATGCCATGCACTTGCTATCCCAGCTGTGCTAGAAAGCATAAAATGGGAGAACTGTAGTCCTGGCACACATCTGGACAAAAAGACAACAAAAAGGAGACAGGGCTGGAGCCTTAGATCAGTGGTGAAGGTCCTGCCTAGCAATTGAAGGGCCCTGAATTCAAACTCAGTACCACTAAAAGTCCATGATTTCATTTGAACGTAAGTTTAAAAAAAGGCATAAAAGGAAGGAAGAGCTGAGGCCAGTGATTCACATTTATAATCCTAGTTGCTCAGGGAGCTGAGCTCCAGAGGATTATGGTTCATAGCCAGCCAAGCAGAAAAGTTCCAGAACTCTATCTCCAATTAACCAACAAAAAAGGGCTGGGAGCATGGTTCAAGCAGTACAGTAAAACAAGCAAGTTGAATATGCATGAGGCAAAAGAGAGAAGACTAGATTATAAAATATTCTTTCTTGTTTATTATTATTTGTACTCTTTCCCAGGAATACTTCTTTCAGGAAGGTAATGAGGAGAAAAAGAAGACTTTTATAGTTAGGGTCATTACTATACTCTTTTTTTTTTACTGTACAAAGGGACTAGAGTTACGTGAGTAAGGTAATGAGTGCCTTCCCTATGGAGCATTGTTACCCCCTCCTTTGTTTTTCCCCTACCATCTCTTCCCTCCTCATGTCCACAACTCCTCCTTCTCCCCACCACCAGCTGTAAAGTTTGTTTTCAACATAGTGTCTTGTACACCTCATTGTTACAATGGGTCAATCTGTATCCTTATTTAAGCATTTTGTTATTTCCCTTCCCCTCCACAAATTAGAAAGATGTATAGACAAGATGTAGGGCACACAGGGGTTATACCATGGGGGAAGAACATACAAAAGAAAACAAAAAAATCACACAGTACATTATAAGTACATTAAAACAACAGCAAAAAAGATAAAACTTCTTGTGTCCCTATCTTGGGGTTCATTTTGCTTAGCATCGTCTTACATGGTCATATGTACATAGCTTTTGACCTTTTCTGCCTGTCCTAGTCATATAGTAGTTATTGCAAATAAGGGAAACCATGGGACCTATGCTTCTTTGGGTCTGGCTTACTTCACTTAATATAATTTTGTAATCATTCTTAAAAGGGATTAACAGCCCATATAAAAAAATAGACTTTTCTCTCTCTTCATAAAGGGCTGGTCATCAACAGTAGAGTGCCACTTTTCTTCTTCACTCTTTCAATCAGCCACCAAATGATGGTAGTTCTCTGTCCCCAGGAAGGCTTGAAACTACATTCCCTTCTAGACATGGAAGCAAAACCCTTTTGAATAAAGCATACTTCTTATCTCCACTCTCAGAGCAATATTCTTACTTATTCTATCCCCCCCCCAGGACCTTCTAGAACAAAGGGCAGAGAATTTCTACCTCCCATTAGATACTCTAGGAAAAGGCAGTATTTCTGGTGATCACTTCTAATTACCCACAGTTTCTCTTCTTTTTCTCTTTTCCTTATTTCATCCATGTAGGTCACTTAGGATATATCTTTGCAGGAAGAAAACCCTCAGTGCAGTTTAAGAAAGTAGTAGTGTACTCTAGCTGATAAGAGGATAAGATAAAAAGATGACAAGACAAAGTCTTGGCCAAACCTGGGTTCAGGCAACTGTAACACAGCAGAGAGGGGGCTTGGAGGTATGGGCTCTAGTGTTGGACTGTTTGGACTAAAATATAGGCTTTCCTAAGGGTGTACAACCCAGGGCATGACCCTTCATCACTCTACCACGTCTACCAGTGGAAGGATAGTCCTTACTTCCTAGGACTGCAGTAAAAAATCAGATGACACAATATGAACTTAAAAACATCGTAAACTCTAAAGAGTAAGCACCAACTATGTAAGCTTTTATTACTATCATTTGTGAAATTCTACATGTATTGAATGGGAATAATGGGCATAATGTCCACATGACATTTTATGAAAATATTACAGAGCATCCTTAGAATGAATCTTTTGGAGGAAGGAAATAAATATATAATTTTTACGAGGGCATTAAAATGGTCCAGAAAAGCACACATCACCAAACACTGGAATACTAGGTAGAGAGTAAGAGGGGTGGAAGGGAGTTGACACTTTTATATGATCTTTGTAACACCCATGTACTACTTTCATAATTCATTGTGAAAATCAAACATTTTACCACCGTCTTTTTAGTTTTCAATTGAATATTTGTCATCTTCTAGCCTAGAGAAAGATAAGCTTCTTGGAGAGAGGAGAACTGAGGCTCTGTAAAGATTAGGCAGTCTCGGCCCTCCTGTCTGTTCATCTGAAATTCCTTAACCTCCTTTACTGCCCTGGCTACATTACATACCTACCATTGGTATCCAGACAGCCTATGTTTGCTCATTATGGTGCCCGAGGATTTTCTGTCCTCAGGGTTTTTAGTATCTTCCTACCCTGCACAACTTTGTCCCTATTTACCTGAATCTGTTTCCCACTGTTAGTCCAGTGCCCTTCTAATGCCAAGCCCAACGATATGACTACAAATCTATACTGTTCCAGTACAAAGTCCCCCCCTCCACTTACCCTGCAAAGGGTCCAGATAGGCTTTCAATACCACTCTCCTCCCCCATACCCCCCTCCTCCCGCAGGCCCACTAAGTATATAGACTTTTTTTCTTTCCTTTAGGTCTTTCCCTCACAGATGTTTACTTTTGTTTTAGTTTTCTTTTGGAAGTTACTTTGCTACTTTATACCATCTTCACTCTTTTCCATTCTCCTCACTGATCTCTTATTGTCCATTAACGTTTCTGCTTCTCCTCTCCTCTCCTCTTCTCTTCCCTTCTCTTCTTCTCTTCTCTTTGTTCTGTTTAGCTCCCATCCCACTTAGTCTGGTCTCCTCACACTCCAAGCGTCTATCCCCACTTATACACACGCCTAGGGAGAAACGTTTACGGAATGGGGCAGGAAAGGAAGACAAGATTCAAGAATACAGGCAGATTGCCTGTCAAGCCATCTCTAGCATTGTGGAGCATCCCTGAGCCTTGCAGCTGGGGGTATCCAGCCACCAGAAGCAGGTCAGCATCCCGGCGCCTAGGAGTAAGGAGAGCCGATTGGTTCCCATATGGACCAATAAGAAGGCTAAGCCATACCCTGGGTGGGAAGGGCTAAGATTGGAAGCGGATAAGGTTAAAGGGAAAGGAAGGGGAAGGTGTGCCTGGCACCCGGGTTCAGTGTGCGCTTCGTACCCGCAGGGTCATGATTAATGTTAGAACTCTGATCTAAATCACCCTTTCCTACTTTTCAAATATGGTCTAGCTTAAATAGTAGATAATGAAGCGGGGTGGGGGGCAGGGAGAGCACCCGTTACTTATCCTACCATTCATAAGATGGTTATTAATAGTCAATGGGGAGGAAGCTTTGGAGTAGGAAGGGCGACACGATCTTATCTGCACCCCTACCCCCTCAATTCCAGTCCACGCGCCACCAGCCTAGCTTAATCGGTTTTTAAAATAGCAAATCACCCAAACGTTCACTTAATCGCCAAATCTGATTAACAAAATGTTGAATTAGAATTAGACACCTGAGTAAGTTTCCTCCCTCTCCCACGACTTGGGTGGAAACAGTGCTGGCGATGGACCGAACACGCAGCGTTTCTCTACCCGATGGATCAGAAGCCAAGGAACACAACTCTGGCTGCAAGTCGGGGAAACTGAGACCTTCGGAACTAACCCCGCCCCGCCCCCAGGCGCAGCCACAGCCCCTCCAAGCCTCTGCCCCCGCCTCTCTTCACCTGGGGGGACACGGATTGTTTTGCGGGGGGAGAGGAGGAGGGTGGGCGCACAGATCTCAGATTTTTTTTTTCTCCTACTATGTTTCAACTTTAGCAAAGCTGTTCCGTCCACTTTTTATTTTTACTCCCAAGTGTCGTCACCTGCAGACCAACGACCAGTCTAACCTGTGACCCTCCCGCTACCCCACCACCCATAAGGAGGGAGGGGGGCGCAGACACCGCGTCCCAGCGCTGGGGACGCGCGGGGGGGGGCATGGGAAGGGAAGTGGGGAGAAGAAGGGAAACGATCCGTGGACGTAGACTGTTCCCCGTTAAGGCCTGGGGCCCCGAAGCCCGGAGAGGAGGCAGGGAAGGGCCTGGAGGGGGAGCTGGGGGGGGGGGTAGGCGCGGGGCGCCGCGGGGGTCGCCGCACTCACTCTGCGTAGCCGGTGGCCCAGGGCAGCCTCCGCGTCTCCTTGAGGATGAGGATGGGCCGGGCGATGTGGTCGGCGCTGCACTCCACCTCGTCCGGTGACAGCCCGAGGAACTCGGGCCGCCCGTAGGGGAAACGCAGCGGCAGGTCGGAGCCTCCGCAGCCGCCACCGCCGTGCTCGGAGCCGGAGCTGCCAGCCATGATGCCGCCCATGAAATTGGCCACGGCAGATTTCACTCGAGTGAGCATATTACTCCGGCGCCCGGCCGCGGCGACGCGAGCAGGAGGCGGCGGTGGCGGCGGCGGCGGCCCGGCGGG